GAAAGTTTTTTGAATTATTCAAATCGGTTGATCCGTGCGCCCGAAAACGTAAACGAAAAAATGCGGACACACAAAACACATACACATATCCATTTTTCCTGAGGTATGCCAAAATGATCAGAAACTTCTGAAACGTTAAGATATGCAAAAATTTTTATTTCTGATTTTTGGCTCATTACTATAACTTACCCTACGGGAAGTTAAAAATTATTCACGTGTTGTGAAAATTATGAGCTTTTAATTGCAACCGAGAGCTTTTGTAAAAATGTGTCTATTTTTCGATTATTTTGGTTATTTAAGCTTTGGATACGTAATCGTGAATAATATTTATTGGACCAAAGTTAAAAATAGTGACACAATTGGCCCAAGTTTTCAAGAATTAAGACTTTTTTGAACCATGAGTTTAAAATTCTCAAAATTAGTCGACATTGAAAGGTCTTCTTTAGAAAATATGCACTAAAATGTGTTGGCAAAAATCATCAAAAGCATTTAATCAGGATTATCTTTTACTCAAAAATAAAAAATAGCCATAAGATCTTAAATAAATTGTTAAAAAAGTAGATATCTCATTAAAGATAAACTAAAAAAAAATATCAGGATTGTAAAATGGTAAAAGACTGTGATTGAATACTGGGACACCCTGTGTCTCAGAACTCAACGTTAAGCAAAAACGCAGTGATAGTGTTAATCATGAAAAAAATTAGAATTAGACTAACGCAGTTTGAAAATTATGAGCTTTTGAGTGATATCTAGAGCTTGGGTCTATTATTCTGGTTATTTTTTAGCAATTTTGTTAATTCAAGCTTTCGATCTGTAATCCTAAATTACTTGGATCGTAGTTAAAAATAGTGATACAATTGAATTTTAGTTTAAAATTATAAAATAATCGACATCGAGAGGCTTTCTTAAAAAATCATTCACCAAAGTGTGTAGGGAAGTATCATCAAAAGTTGATAGTTTCAAGACTTGATAGTTTCTTAGTAAAAAAATTCAGGAAATAAAAATTGAGTAAAAATATCTCGCAAACTAATATAATATTATCACATCAAATAAATTAATTTTAAAGATCCTACTCCTCTTAACACCTGTTTTACAAAATGACCTACATATTTCTTCTACTAACTCCTAAGCCAGATGGTAGCATGTGAGCTCGGGAGAAAATTAAATGCTAAGAAAGATTGTGTGGCAGTAAACAATTTAGCCCAAGTCCTTGCGTAAAATGAATCACCGTCATTTCTGTTAACTTTTTCATTATAATTCTTTTCTTTTGCTTTCGTCGGCGACACAATAGACGACAAAATTGCAAGATGATATATTGTCACAGGCTGTTTCGGCGAGGTGGATATTGAGATTGCGAATATTTTTCAAATTTAATCCACAAACGGATAGAATTATTGTGCGATTATATTTTAAACAGAAAATGTCGAACTGATTTTTGCTCAATTTATGAGGAATGAAATTACTTTCAAAATTATGCCTCGAGATATTTTGATTGGCTATAGTATAATACATAATGATATGCAGAATTTGTTTTCATGGGTAGTTATAATTCTATCATATTTCTATTTGTATAATCATTTAATGAATTACCAAAGTTTATCATGTAAAATAGGCGCACAAATATTTTTTACAGTACAATTTATATATTTTTTACAACATTCTCGACTTCTTCATTTACAATCCTGAAAATGATTTTTGTAGATAGGTACTTATATATTAAGATTTTATTTTTCTAAACTAAATATTTGCATTTATATTATATAAATATATATATATATATATATATATATACTAGATGACCCGACAGACTTTGTCCTGTACCAATTTCTACAATTTTTTTAATATAATATACTAATATTTACCGCTTATCTAAAATTATATGTATTAAATCTTCAGTTTCCCATTTGTTGTTATAAAGTGAATTTTTTACGAATTTTAAAAATATTGTGGGAAGATTAGTAAAAGATGCAAAGAATTTATATATTGAAAAAAAATTTATATTGAAAATTTAATATCCAAATCTTTTGTTGGCGCCCCCTAAGGCGTGCGCTCGTATTTTTCGCATGCATCGCATTAAAGGTAGGACCTGCCTTGATCAATACTTAATTTCATATTTTAAGCGAATTAATTTGTCATATCCTGTTCATATGCGTATCATTAAATCTGCCATACATATACTGTCGTTTATATTATTTTAATTTCTGGCACATCTCAGCTGCTTTTTGGCGATAATAATGTAGACATTTCAATTTTATTCATAATATTGTCTAGGTTCATAAGTAAATTGAAATTTGTGGCAGATGATAGTTTTCATTTGTTTTCAATACAAACAATGACATATCGTTTTTTGCAACCTTTTCTATTTATTTTTATAATATCCCACATACATCCCAGAAAATCCAGTGAGTGCTTGTAATTTAATATGAACTTTATATAATAGCGACAAAGCTCACATTAATTCTACGTTTTAGTTAGAAAATGTTTGTATGAGAAAAAGAAAAAAGCTGTTTTTAGGGTTTTCCCGGAAATTATTCGATTTTTTCTCGCCGTAAGAACCATCCTTCATCAACGAACATTTAAAAAAAAGAATTGACCAAATTGTTGTTGAGTTTTGCGCTTACCAACACATTTTGCGATTCATTTTTATGTATAAGATATGTATAATATATATGTATGTTTATATGTATAAATGTATGTATGTATATATGTATATTAGTTACTCTTTCAAGAAATGTAGTTACCTCAACCTGTCACTTGCAATTCCATGCTAGTTGAATTGGTTTCGAAAATTATTCCCTCAGAATTAATTCTGATATGAACTTTATAGAAAACCTACGACAAAAGTTTTAAATGAAAATTGCAATCCATTACCTATCGTTCCCATTGAAGAAAGTTCGATTGGATATTCTGATAAATGAAAAAGCCATGAAGACAATGGAACGGAAGAAGTTGAGATGAAATACGATAATATTCTGGATGATATATTAAGCAGATCTTTAGTATTCGAGATTTATATAAGTTTTAAAGTCGGTTACTTGATGAATAATACGCGGCTGAAGAAGTTTTGATCTCTGAGTAATACGACTGAGGATATCTCACAAATTACTTTCGAAACTTCGTTTCTAATTTGTTTTATTAAAATTTTAATTTCACTCGAGGGAAATTATGAATTTAATACCTGTGAGGTATTCCACGGCTCATATTGAGGACGGAGATTTACTAAATTAGTAAAGTTACAACTTCGTGGTTTTGTAACGTAAAGCTTGAATCTTTTAGTAAGCATTTCTTTGAGCTACGTTTTATGGGACAGAAGTAGGTCAGTGGTAACTATAGTTGATTCTCATATATAAAAGCAATTTTAGATGTCATATCAGTCATGAATTGGAAATTACTTTTGTAAAATATTATGTGAGTGTTTTATTTATAATTAAAAATTTTATTTATAGGATGCAATGAGTAATATTAACTTCCGGTCTTGAATTTTAAATGTTTTTAAATAGATTATTATAAGTACTGTAACTTCGTTCATCATTCGTATTTTATAGACAAATTATAAGGGCTCATGAATTGTACGATAATATATGTTTGTATGGAAAGTAAATAAATGAAACTTGATCGGATTAAAAATATTTATTTCTCAGATATGCCACAATGTTCAGAAACCTCTGTAACGTGAAGATATGTAAAAATTTACATTTTCGATTTTTGGACGATTATTAACTTACCCTACGGGCTATTTAGATAAAATTTTCACCGGTATATTGCATTGACACGTGCTTGTATGCCCTAAAATTGTATTTTATTATTTCAAATTTTAATGAATTGATAATGTTTGACTCATCACATCACAAAAGCAACTTTTCACACCAATTTTGACTACAATATTTTCTCAAACTTCTATAAATTTTCAACATTAAACTATTTGTTGTAGAGCCGTAACATTTTAGTATGTTTTATAAGACCATGATATATATATTGTCAAAAAAGGTTCATAAAAAGCAGCAAATTTTTAATTAATTAATTTCAACAATTAATTTCAAGAAAAAGTCTTGATAGATTTTTAGCTTTTACTGAAAATTAATCAATTCAATTTTTATATATATTTCAAACAACTTATAAAATCTGTAAATATATTAATTATAGTGCACAAACACGTGCCTATATGTCTAAAAGCGTAGCCCATTATTTTAACGAATTTATATAATTAAACCAACTTTTTAGGTTTTTACTATTCTAGACTTTTTGTTCAAACTTACAAATGTAAGATGCATCAAATAGCTTTGTCATTTTAAAAATTGATGCACCTGTTTTTGCTGACATACACACACAGTAAAATCGGCTCATATACAAACACATATTTCGGATGTAAACTTTTCACTTTTACTAAAAACTAATCAATTAAATTTTTAAATATATTTCTAACAATTTAAAAACAAAATCTGGTCATCAATTAAAGAGAACACCCACGTGCTGATATGTCTTAAAAGCGCAGCTCATTATTTTAACGAATTTATATAATTGCGTCTTTACTATTTTAGGATTTTTGTTAAAACTGACAAACGCAAGATACATCAAATAGCTTCAAAATTAAAAAATTGATACATTCATTTCGTCTGACACAGATAAATCGGCTCACATATAAGTACGCATGCTTTTCCAGAATTTGGTCTCAAATGCTTCAGAATGACTTGAAATATTAAGAAAACAGTAAATCAAATTTTCTGGCTTACACCTAAACTTCTCCATCCGCAAATAAATATAATTTAATAAATTAACAATTAATATATTTATGTAAGGAAATTCCCCACTGGGGGAATTTCTAAAAGCCCTGTACCCGTCAGCTAACAACCCCATTGAACCCAAGGTTCAGATTGGTTATAAGAAATAAATAATAATAAAAAAAATTATACTTTGTTTTTAAAAAGTATAAAGTACGTAAATATTAATTATGTATCTACATAGTCTAGTTAATTAAATTAACGTATAATTATTAATTACAGGTGGTGTTGTAGTTTAATTGTTGTATCCCTAATATGTGGACATTGTTTCGCGTTGCGATGTGATCGTACGCCGGACGGCAGTACAGCGCCTCGCCTGCCGGCTGATGGGCGGTTCAGATTGCGCATCCTGGGCAGTCCTGATAAATACTCACCAGGCGAAATTTATACAGGTCAGTGATAGATAAAAATTATAGATTCATGGGCATCACATCTGTCTTTGTTCATTCTGATTTATATTTGGAGACCAGGGGCGTAGTCGAAATCTAATAATAAACTAACTAGTTGGTTTGGTATTTAGCCTTGAGACAAGTTACATGAACTTCCCGATATGTGTAAATAATCGGCTTAATCTATAAAAAATAATTTAATTTATGAGTGATTAGAAGTATTCCGAGTGGATTTATTACACATGATTGAAAACGAACGAACACTTTGACTCGGAGTATTTTCTTATAGCAAATTTTCAAAAATCACCAGTTTTTATAATTGAACCAGTTTCCATAGGACTTTAATGGTTTCTATGTTCATTAAAACCAAGTACTCTATCGTTATACCAAGTAAATCGTCTAATTTTAATTTTAACAAACGTCAAAAAAACTTTTCTTTTTATCAAACTTTGATGAATTTTCAAAATTAAACTACTTGTCGTAAGGCTGTACTAATTCAGTAAGTTCTATAAGACCATAGGATATATCTCGCCAAAAAAAGTTCCATAAAAATCGGCTTAATTTTTTTTCAACAGTTAATTACAAGAAAACGGCTCGGTAGATTTTTACCTAAAACTACTCTATATCATTCCCAACTAATATCTTTCGAACAGTTTTTGATTTTTTAAAATCGATTCGGTAGTATGAGCTTAAATGTGGACGAAAAGTTTAACACTTTTTTCCAAATTACAAAGAAACGGCTCGGCAGACCGTCTCAAACTGACAAATTATAGTCAGTCCTCATTGAGATACATCAAATGGCCTTTAAATTTCTGAAATCGGTTCAGGCGTTTTTGAGCAAACGTCGATGAAAGTTCTAATTTTGACAAATGCCAAAAAGACAATACTAATTTTTGCAAACTTTGACGAATTTTCACAACTAAACGAGTTTTCGTAGGGCCGTAATATTTTAGTATGATCTAGAAGACTATGGTATCTACCGTCAAAAAAGTAATAAGAAAAATCGTCGATTTTTTTTTTAAATACTTTATTACAAGAAAACGGCCCGGCCGATCTTTACCAAAAACTAATCAGCACGATTCCCAAGCAATATCTTTCAAACGGTTTTTAAATTTTCAAAATCGATTAAGAAGTGCGGGCTAAAACGTGGACGAAAAATTTTTCACTTTTCTGCGATTTACAAAGAAACGGCTCGGCCGATCGTCACACAAAACTCAGAAACGCTAGTACTCATGGCGATACATCGAATGGCTTTTAAATTTTTGAAATCGGTCCAGCTGTTTTTGAGAAAACGTCGATTTACGGCAAAAAAATCTGTTCACACACACGCACACACACACATACTTTTTCCAAATTTGGTCTCATTCGATTCAGGATGGCTTGAAACGTCGAGAAAACATAAAATTAGCGAATCGGATTTTTTGATGAAAACATAAACTTCTCCTTCGGGATTCGTGGACATCACATCTGTCTACATTCTTTCTGATTTATATTTGGAGACCAGAGGTGTAGTCGAAATCTAGTAATAAAAAGTTATTATTTATTAAATGAATAATCCGCACCATCTGTCGAACCTACACAATATTGTCTCATCTTAATTTATATCTCAAAAGCCAGACTATTATTATGAGCTTTTCCTACTGGTGTGTATCTTAAAAGCTTATGCTAAAGTAATACATCTCAGGGCGTAATTACAGGATACGATATCTTTCCGCGCTCGCTGATATTGTTTGATTGCGCATGTAAACCATTTCGCCGGAGATGAAATATCGCGCCGAGATAAGAAGAAATTTAATTTAAATTTCAAAGCCGAATCTTTGCACTGATATTGCAAACAACATTAAGAGGTCGTGATTAATGAGCGTGTTCAGGTTGACGAAAAAATTAAAAGAATAATTTTTAGGGATGGTGTAAGAAGAAAGCAAACTTCCTTTTGGTGATATATAAGAAAATCCTTTTTGTGTAGTTCAAATTTTACGTTATACGAAACTTATGTTTTTAATATTAGTAGTTTAGTTAAAAATCCTAAAACTAATGTATCTAATATATAATTCTTAGTTCCATAAAACTGCCCAGAACGTAATAATTTAATTTGAAAGCAAAAATTTAAGGAAAGTAAATATGAAATATAAAAACTAAGTGAAATATAAAAACAAGTGGTTTCCCAATTGCAGGTAAAATATCAAAATTTTCAATCATATATAATAAGTTTATTTTCAAATATTTGAAGATTAACTTTTTTTTCCCCAAAGTTTTAATAAGTTTATTTTTAAATATTTGAAGATTGTAATAAACTATTAGATCAATTTCATGCCAATTACAAACTAGTGGTGTATGGCATCGTGCCTTAAAGCAAATTGCTGGAATTTCCCGCACGCTAACTAAATGTTCGAGGATTATCAAATGTTTTCAAATAGATTATTATAAATACTGCAACATTGTCTAATATTTATAAGAATTATATAAACTGAATTACAAAGTTCAAATTATTTGTTTAAAGTATATAAGTGAGTTTTAAAACTTTAGCCAGAATTAAAATTAAAATCTGAATTATTTTCGAAATACAAAAAAAATCCCTAAAGCAATTATTTTGTCAACACAAGCAGAAAGTTTTCTGAATCATTCAAATCGGATGCTTAGTTCTCTCAAAAACTGCAATTTCTTGTAAATTTAGCTCTGTATCTTCAAAATGGCTAGACCTGCCTTTGACAAAAACTAATCACCACTTCTGCCCATCATTACGAATTGAATATTTTTTGGATCATTCAAATCGGATACTCCGTTCTCTCAAAAACTCGATTTCTATTTTCTGCACTTTTTACTCCGTATCTTTGTAACGGCTGGACCTGCCTTGGCCAAAAACTAATCAGCACATCTCCCCATCAATAGGAATCAAATGTTTTTTGAACCATTCAAATCGGTTGATCCGTGCGCCCAAAAATGTGGACGAAAAATTGCGGACACACAAAACACACACACATCCATTTTTCCGAAGTATGCCAAAATGTTCAGAAACCTCTGAAACGTGAATTTTATGCAAAAAAAATTATTTTTAAATTCTGGCCCATTACTATAACTTGCTCTAAGGGAAGTTAATAATGTTAGGTGCAAATTGTTCAGTAGATATGTTTTATTATTAACTAACTATTTTCTTGAGATTTGTTTAAATTCTGTTTATTATACTGTTTAAATTCACCATCGTATCTAATAAAATTAATCACGCAACAAATATTTCATATACAAAGTATCATTTATAAAAATATTATTTTCATCATATTATGCAAATATATAATTCTTATAAATTATATACACGGTCTTCTATCTGAACTAACAATAAGTTTATGATATCTTGATTCAAAAACTTGCACATGTTCCTACAGTTGTAGCTCTAACTTTTAATGCAAAAACTTCATGAGAAGAATATACTACCGTGCAAATAATTGTTTGTAGTGTCAGGTTTGCGGAATGAAACTTATGTAATACAACGCGCTTTGAAAATTTGCAGACGGGAATAGATATCTACTGGAAATAAGGGAAAAGACAGATATAGTAAAGTACTTTTGAAAATGCGATATGTAATAGAAATATGTTAAAATTTAATGAATAATACGTTGCTAATTAAACAAGGTCTTTTAAAAAAAGTAGCAAACTAAGGTTTTTGGTTAAATACAAGCCTATGATCATTATAATACGTCATGTAAATTCTTATACGCGCAGAATTGATTTACAAGTAAAAGCCCCTATAGGTTTCTAATTACCTATAGTGGTTCTTCATATTCTAAAGCTACTTGTTTTAAATGAATTGTTAATGCTCCTTCTGGATCTATACCCAGTTAATTATTCCGATGACTGAACTGAAAGTACGGTAATCAATTATCGAGCACTCTATTCGCATTTGCTCCTTGCAGCTGCGGTCTGATTTTCATTAACGATATTTATAATAGTCACAAGTATCAATTACCAAGATATTTAATCAAAAGACATTTTTCCAGTACACTTTTTATTAAATCTGATACATTTACCCAAGTTCGTTATTTTATGTATACAGATTTAAGCCTGCAGTAAAATATGAATTATAAAAAAGTAATGTACTCTGAACAAACTCTTTGTAGAATTTTTTGCACACATTCGTATATTTGCATAAACCATTCCGCTACTCGGCTGTGCTAACAAATCGCGAAAGAACGTTTGCTAACGAGCGAGCAAGAATCCAAAATCAACACGCTTTCGAAAATTTCCATGTTATCTGTAAAACTCTTGTCTGCGTTATTCATCGTTCGAAACACTTGAGATGATAATATTGTTTATACACAGGGAAATGTTATTATTTCCGGGGTAAGGTGGATAAATATTTAACGTTATGTAAATTGGCGCTTAATCTCTATCGAAAAATAAATCTTGGTTACAGAAAATCATTGCAGAACTTTCTATATCACTTCCATTGTATAATATATCACTTTAAGAAAAATTTGTCATTTAACATTCAAAATGTAGAAAGTTATCTATTTTCCAATAGTTTGTACCCAGCACGGTAAGCTTTTAATACAATTTGGGTGATTACTAAATATTTTAATGATGGGCTTATATCGTATGTGTTTATTTCATTACTTTCATACTTTGTACCCTTTAATGAATATTTTAATGAGTTGCATACACTCTACCTACAACTAACTATTTTAATGAAGGCTTTACGTCGTGTGGAATCATTTTAGAAGTTGCACATCATGTACTTGGTACACCAGCAAAGTCTAAAATTTTCAACAGATCTAAAAATAATACTAACATTTATATTAATCATACACAATAATGATTTAACTACCCAATATATTTATTAGATACTACAACTAATGATATAAATAATAGTGGTATAAAAATTAATTAATTTATTGAAACTATTCTAAATTAACAGATTTTTTTAAATTGGATCTATATGCTATTTGTGTGCATTATTTATTTGTTGTTTTTAAACATTTTTTTAAAAATAATTTTTCTCGAAACTATGT